AAAAAAAAAAATCATATATAAATTATGGTCGAACAATCTGAAAAAGCAAAAGAAAAGGTTACTTACCGCTCCACCACACCACCCTTAAAAAACAGGTATATATATATATATATATATATATATTTTATGTCTAGTCAACACCAAAACAGAAGGTAAATAAATTCACAGCACAGCATATACTTCTTCTTTGGTTTTGGCTTATTCAAGGTAATGAATGGGCTAGCCTAGCAGTAGTCAACACCAAAACAGACGTTTCTGAGTAGGGGTGTTCAAATTTTTGACCGGCCGTAATTTCTTATCTTATCCTATCCTATCCTATCCAACCCTAAAAATCAACTAGTCGTAAAAATCGGGTAAGAATGCAGAAGAGTTTTTGGTCTTTCGATTAAATTGGGTAGGAATGCGGAATAGTCATTCATTTTTGCATTCCTACCTTATCCTACCCGCATTAATTAATTTAATTAATTTTTTAATATATATATATATATATAAAATAAAAAACCCTAATTGTTAACATTTTACTCATATGTTCGAAGCCATCCTTTGAGAGGCGTCTCAGCCACAGTCCCACTGCTCCTCCTCAGCTCCTCCATTGTTAAGGACCTTCAGCCTTCACTTCAGGTACTCTCTCTCTCTCTCTCTCTGTGTACGCGATCTGGACCATCTAGTCTAATCGCATCACGATCTCAGATCTGGTCTGGACCGTCTGATCNCCATCCTTTGAGAGGCGCCTCAGCCACAGTCCCACTGCTCCTCCTCAGCTCCTCCATTGTTAAGGACCTTCAGCCTTCACTTCAGGTACTCTCTCTCTCTCTCTCTCTGTGTACGCGATCTGGACCATCTAGTCTAATCGCATCACGATCTCAGATCTGGTCTGGACCGTCTGATCTGATCGCGATCTCAGATCTAGTGTGGCCTGGACCGTCTGATCTTAGATCTCAGAAAAGGTATCCATGGTTCACTGCTTTAAGCAAGCTTATGTGGGGGCTGGGGGTGATGCTTGCGGCTCCGAGGTGGTTCTATGGATAACGTTCTGGAACTCCAGGCTCAGATGGTGATGCTTTCGGCTCCAAAAATATCTATCAATGGTAAAGTCCAAAAGTAGTCTAAGGGCATAACAATAAGAGATGTTCCACAGTTACGTCTTCCTCTCCACAAATTGAACATGTAGGGTTTTGAGAGAGTTTACTTTCTCCATAGTGCCTATTTGGTTGCCAGTGCTCTATTTGTAACCTTCTATAAAAAAGAATAAATTTTTTGAGGTGATTTTAAGCCCCAAATCATTTTCCATAGAATGATGAGCTTCTATAGAAAGATGAGTTTGCAGTTATGTTATATTGATGGGGACCTGAAGATTGTTTCAACATGTGATAGCCACTTCTCACTGTGTAGTAGCTTGAATTTGTATGGGACCATCTTAGAATATCCTGTTGCAGTCTTTTCTGCTAACAGAATTGGATTTGTAGCCACACATTTTGTTCATATTTTGAATTAGATGATCTAAAAACTATTGTTTGAAAAATCACAAAATAAAATTAAACAAGTGATATAGTTTTATTAATTAAAAAGTGCAGGTACTGAATCTTGTCCCTCAGCTTGGGGTTATCACCACTAGGCATCAGAGAAGTTCTTTTGGGTATTGTGGACTCTATTAGAATTTTACTGAATTTGTTGTTTTGAATTTGTTATTTTGTTTTGTTAACAGATCCATTCCTTATGGATGAAATTACTCCACAATCATCTGCTCAAGCTGATTCTAACAGTAACATCCAAGTTACTGATGACATTCAGACTGAGGGACAAGATACAAAAAAAAGATCTAGAGTTTTGGAGCATTTTGAAAAGATTGAAGTTGTAGATGAAGCTAAATGTCAGCATTATAGTAAGATTTATAATTATCATGCAAGAAAAACAGGTATTTCATCCTTGCTTTATCATTTAGATCGTTGTAAATCTTATTTGGCGAGTGTGAATAAGAAGGACATATCTCAATTAAAGTTAATTGGTGCATTCAAAAAAGATGGAGATGGTGTTAGTAGTGACCTTAGTATTGCTAAATTCAATGAAAAGAAAACTAGGGAGGCAATTGCTAAAATGATTATAGTGGATGAATTGTCGTTCCAGTTTGTTGAAAGAGAAGGGTTTAGAGACTTGATGAGGACTGTTGAACCTAGATTTCGTATACCTTCCCGTACCACTGTGATGAGGGATTGTTTGCAATTATATATGATGGAGAAAGAAAAATTGAAGCATATGTTTGTCTCATCTAGTCAAAGG